CCATTACAGGTCAAACTCTTCCAAGTTTTTTTCCTTAAAGTTCAGTCATTTGAAGTCATTGTATAAGCCAGGTAGAAATGCATGACTTTCATAGTCATAAATAATTTCATCACCTAACTGATAATTTTAGTTTTCTGCTGAGACCTTTAAAATAACTTTCTAAAGTGTTAAAATCCTCGTACAGCATGAAGCAAACTAATAGTTAATGAGAGTAAGATCTACAAACCTGGGCTGGAGCTATAAGTCCAGCTGGTCGGGTACTTGCATTGCACATTGTCAACCCAGTTTCCATACCCAGCACCCCATATGGTCCCCAAGACCGTCACGAGTGATCCCTAAGTGCAGAGCTGGAAGTAAGCCCTGAGCACGGATGAATGTTCTCCCCTACCCCCAAATCCCCAAAAAGTTGTACTTTAAAAAGACTAACAATTCAAACATTTAGGAAGAGTTGGGTGAAAATGGTCACATCTTTACCTTCTATATTCCATCTGGCCTGGTAACTCTATTTTTAGGCTTTTTTTCCTCTCCTCGAGAATATACAGAAATGCTTATGCAAGAAGTTGACAACAGCATTTTTGCAACAGAAAAAAAATACTGGAAACACCATATAGATTCAATGTTGAAAAATGGTTAAGCCATTATTTTCCAAATATTTTGAAAGGAGCACAAGATCTAATGAAAATAAATTTTAAAATCTTTTTTATTTATTTTTAAAGGATGCTGTGGACAAGTAATTTTAGAAGATAGTGGTTTAAATTTACTATATTTCTTTAGTGTTGGGCATCTGAACAGATCATACAGACTCTCTGTGGAGCTAAGTCAATTGGAGTATATCCCTAGACGATTATGCGTTCATAAAAATGTTACAAATGTTTGTGTGCATAAGCTCAGAAATGTGCAATTGGAAGCCACGTGAAAAAAAACCTGAAATTGTCAGGGTGTAGACAAAATGTTAATAGTGGTCATCTTGGCATTTTGAGTTTATTGTTTTCCCTTTTTATTCATACATATTTTTAATTCTTCAACAAGCATGTATTACTAAGCTCTTGTACTTTTGAAGACCCTCAAATTAAATTACTAAAAGTGTTATAATGCCAAGGTTATGACTGTTACTTCATTTTTTTATGGCACCTACTTCAAAACATATCGAAAGCTAGTTGCTGCATACTTGAGCTATGAATCACATTTTTTTGGGTAGATTATGTTGCAAAAACCAGCAGATAAACTTGGATCTGAATGGGCCTTTTCGTCCCAGTCTTTTTTTCTGAATAGCGCATATTTTACTCTTTTTCACTATCACTATTAATATTCAGTAATAATGTTTAAATGGTTAATTAACCATTTTATGGTTTAATTAAAACCATAATTTAAAAGTTGAAGGAGGGGGTGGGAGGGATACTGGGATCAGTGGTGGTGGAGAATGGGCACTGGTGGAGGGATGGGTGTTCGATCATTGTATAACTGAAACCCAAACACAAAAATTTGTAAGTCTACAACTGTACCTCATGGTGTTTCACTAATAAAAATTTAAGAAAGAAAAAACAAATTTTTGTGTTTGGGTTTCAGTTATAAAAGGATCAAATACCCATACCTCCACCAGTGCCCATTCTCCACCACCACCAGTCCCAGTATCCCTCCCACCCTCCATCCCCCCATCCCACCCTACCTCTGTGGCAGGGCATTCCCTTTTGTTATCTCTCTCCTTTTGAGTGCTGTGGTTTGCAAAAGAGACAATGAGTGGCAATCTTGTTTGGTCTATAGTCTACTCTCATCACGAATTTCCCATCCTGAGAGGATCCTCCCAACACCCTTTATTTGATGCTCCCTTCTCTATCTGAGCTGCCTTTTCCCCTAGCGTGTGCGGCTGTCCTCAAAGCCATGGAGTAATCCTCCTGGTACTTACCTCGGCTATTCTTGGGTGTAGTCTCCTATTTTGTTACATTATGTTCCCCAGATGAATGCAATCTTTCTATGTCTGTCTCTTTCTTTCTGACTCATTTCGCTTAGCATGATACTTTCCGTGTAGTACCATTTATATATGAATTTCATGACTTTTCTAAGAGCTGCATAGTACTCCATCCAAACACAAAAATTTGTAAATCTACAACTGTACCTCATGATGTTTCACTAATAAAAATCTAAAAAAATAATAAAATAAATAAATAAAAGTTGAAGGAGGATTTTTAGCCCAGAGTAAGTCAAGAAAATCATCTACATATAATGCATAATCATCACCATCATCATTATTCTTGAATATATATTCACACAAAATTTGTTGCTTTTAAAATTTTGTTTCATTTTTCAGAGAGGCACACTTGGCAGTGCTAACGGACAACTCCTGGCTCTGTGTTCAAAGGTCATTCCCGGCCATCCATGTTTGGGGGACTCTCTATAGTGCCAGGAATTGAACCAGACTTGGCTGCATGCAAACCATTTTAACCCCTAAATTATCTTTCTAGACCTTCCTTTTTAATTTTCTTAAGTTTTTTTTTTCTCCAGGAGAATTTTTATTTGAATCTGCTTCCTTCTGGACAGATAGGATATGAGGGTGGGGCCAGAGTTTGGGATTATAAAAATGCAACCTCAAAAGCATATTGATACACTTAATTTCTTCATGTATGAAGATACTTCTTTCCCCCTCCAAATTCTTGAGTTTGGATAGTCTACATGCCTGGCATATAAAAACATTGGTGCATTTTGCATTCGGTTATTATATTTGTTATTGCTGTGGTTTGTTTGTTTCTTAATTTGGGGGCCACACCCTGCGGTGATTAGGGCTTACTTCTGACTGCACTTACAAGACAATTTTTTATGTAAAGAATTCTTAAAAAGTTCTTTGTATTCCTCATCTATACCCAATAATTTTTTAAAGATGTGGCTAACGTACATAGTTATAAATATCAAAGACCATACTATAATGGACATACACTCAAAACTATCTAAGAATATACCTCCTCACATTTCCAAAACATGGCAAGCACGGCTATATTAAATGGTCTCTCATTTCCCTCTTTGTTTATGTCTGGCTTTGACATTTGTTTATGATGCCTATTTGTTCATGATGACATTTGTTTATGATGTAATGTCTTTGTTTTTGGCATTAAATTTATGTCTATTTATACCATACTCCTACAAAACCATAAATAGCTTGCATCTATGTAGTACTTTACTCTATTAAAACATTGAAAAGAAAAAGTAGTTTGGAGGAATGAATATCCTCAAAACATCCTTTTAAAATGTATAATAAGTTGCACCATGTATAGATCTTTCCAGCTTCACAGCAGTAGTTTGCCAAATCTACTTAATTAACCAACCAAAATCTTATCCATTAACCAACACCAGTATTGGGGAGGAATTTGATTTATGTATTAAATGAGATCTTACTTTCAGTGTATATTTCTGTAGTTTCAAATAATAAGAAACAGTTTCCTAACATAATATAAAGACAGTTCTCATAGCACACACACACACACACACACACACACACACACACACATATATTCTGGGTTCCTTTTTGTTTTTAAAATAACCCTGGATGTAATTTTATATTCAATGTCACTCTCAATGCTACTTAACTACAGTGTTCACACCCAGGGTGGAGCGCTGTGTACTTTTCAAAGCTCAGAAATGCCCTGCAAGTTCAAAAAACATTCTGATGAAGCCTATGCAGCCATTTCAAACTTTTGCAGGGGAAGTAAACCAGCAGTGCTCAGGGGTTACTCCTGGCTACACTGAAGGGACAATACATGGTACTAAGTATTAAAGCTAGGTGGGCCTGCATGCAAGGCCAGTGCCTGAATCTCTATACTATATTTCTAGCTAAAACCTTTGTTAAAATATATTTTTATTCAACTAGTCTTTGGGCGGAGGAGGGAGTAGAGGAGTTGGGCCACACTAGGTTGTGCTCAGGGCTTACTCCTGGCTCTGTGCTCGAGGGTCACTCTTGGAGGTGCTCGGGGGACCACATGTGGTTCTGCATACAAAGCAAGTGCCTTATCCTCTGTACTATCTCTCCAGCCCCACAACTAGCCTTGAGTGGACTTGATGTATTGCAATTTTTAACTCCCCCAGGTAATTTGCTCAGGGTAAGTCAAAAAAGCAAGTGATCTCCCTAAGTTATCTTTTAAAACACTTATATAGGGGCTGGAGCGATAGCACAGCGGGTGGGGCATTTGACTTGCACGCGGCCAACCGGGTTCGATGCCCAACATCCCATATGGTCCCCTGAGCACTGCCAGTAGTAATTCCTGGGTGCATGAGCCAGGAGAAACCCCGGTGCAATGCCGGGTGTGACCCAAAAAAGCAAAAAAATAAATAAATAAAAATTAAAAAAATAAAAAGCTTATGTGAATTGGAGGAGAGCAGGACCCTGGTGCAGGGATGGGTATTAGAACTTTGTAGGACCGAAACTCAGTCATGAACAACCTAGTAACACTGTATTTCAGAATGATTCAATACATTTTTTAACTTAAAAAAACGCTTACATGAGAATCATTCATCTTTGTCTATTTGATTAGATTACTTAGGTCAAACCTGCACCTTGAGAAAGTGCATAAGAAGTTTCAAAAACAAGAAGCAAAGATAGGACATTAAATGGCTACCAACAGGGCGGTGGGTAAAGCTGTACAGTAACAGACACAAGACTTCAGAAGAGTCCTCCAGCCAGAAACATTGCATTCCTTCCATAAGTACACTCGCTTCTAACCTTCGGAACCCAAGTTCCAAGGGAAAACACACTCTGCTGTATTCTTGTCTTAAAGAGGTAGTCTTGGAAATGAACAGCCTTCAGTAAGAGGTTTTCACTGAGCAAAACCAGTCAACATAAAATGAGACCAAAGTGGACCGAGAAATTATGAGTCTTAACTATGTTACATTGCCTTTTACCATAAAACAGTCAGAATTATGCTTCTTGAAAGCTTATCTCCCAAGAACAAAGCAAAACAAAACAACTCTGGTAGTTAATTTATGCATAAAAATCATTTTCATGTCTTATTGCCTACCCGATCTGGACTTAATGATGTCGCTGAATTCGTTCTGCCCATCATCAGGCCTGGTCTCCTGGTCTCCATACTTGGCCATTTCTGTGGAGTTTCAATACAATCCAAAGACTTTTCTAAGTCTTCTTTTAAAATTTTTTCAGTCTTCTGCAATGGCCAGCATCAATACCTGAAACAAGAGAAGGTGGTAACTTGAAATATAAAAATATGTAAATATATATACAGTCATATGAAGTTACATATAATTAAATATCAACCATTCAGCAAATATTTATTCAATGGTCAATACGTTGTAAGGCGAAGGGGATATGGCTAGAAAAAAGAGAGACAGCCTGTTCCATTATGGAGCTTGGAAGCACTAAACATTTAGTTATATAATTTGCTCGAGCGGGCCCAGTAACGTCTCCATTGGAGACTTTGTTGTTACTGTGTCTGGCATATCGAATACTCTCGGTAGCTTGCCGGGCTCTCCGAGAGGGGCGGAGGAATCGAACTCGGGTCGGCCATGTTGGCTGCGTGCAAGGCAGACGCCCTACCCGCTGTGCATCATAATAATCATGATATGTTATAAGTGTACAAAACAGAAACAGAATGTAATAGGAACATACAGCAGAGAAGTTCGACCTGTCTTGGACAATGAGATGGTTGTCTTGACAGCTGAAATCTGAATCAAGACGTCAAAGAAGAGAAGAACTTAACTTCTAAACAAAGAGAGGTGGAAAGAGAAGCAGCTAAGAGTCCTCCCATGGGAGGCAGCAGCAAAAATCATGGGTCTCCAATCAGCTGAGTAATTTTGGAGAAAAGGAATTCAACAGGAGAGAGATGAGATCAATGAGGAGAGGTGAGGTAGACAGGACCTGGAAGGGGTAGCAGGGACCTGAATGCCACCAGTAGCCTTTTGATCTTCCTCTCAAAAGCAATGAAAATCCAACAGTTCAGAAACCAGAAAATAACATGATGGGCCTGATTTTTTTTTAAAGATTCTACTAGCTGGAAGATGGTGCAGAGTGAGGAGTCAGAAAGACCAGGCTCAATACAGCAAATGTTCATTGAAGATCCTAAAAGCCAGGAGTGATGTTGAATGAACACATCATTCAGTCCTCCAGTTATGTTTGAAAAGTTTTTATTATAATACAGTGTGGTAAGGGAGGAATTCCTAATCTTAACCAAATTATCACCTCAGCAATAATGAAGTGTCGTATGATACAATGGAAAATATATTACATCAGCTATGCAGTATCCTTGCCAGAGTGTTCACTATGAAACTGATCGTGAACAGACACATTTCAGACCGTGGAAAAGTCATCAAAAGAAATGAGCTGAACTCTTCAAACTTGTCGATGTCACGGAAAACAAAAACACCTGAGGGCAGGAGAGCTTTCCGGATTAAGGGGAGCCTAAATAGACATGACAATCAAGCGTGAGCTTTGACTGACTCCATAATTCACAATAAACTGTGGGGTAATAGACAATATTACTCTATCTGCATGAAAGTTCTTTCATGAGGGGCTTAAGCCCTGAGCACTGCCAGGGTTTAAAAGAAAAATAAAGGCCATCATCACAGTGATAATACAGCAGATAGGGTGGTTACCTAGACTGACACAGGCCCAGATTCAATCCCCATCATCCCATACGGTCCTCAGACCCCAACAGGTATGACTTCTGAACGCAGACCCTGAACATACAAGATGTAGCCCGAAAATCTACTGTAGCACTGTAGCACTGTCCTCCTGTTGTTCATCAATTTGCTCGAGCGGGCACCAGTAACATTTCCATTGTGAGACTTGCTGCTACTATTTTTGGCATATCAAATATTTGATGATCATAATCATAATAAAGTTCTTTAATGACTTGTTAAGGATTAAAGTTAACGGTGAGTAGCAAAAGAACTATGATGCTATTTTCAACTTTGGTTAAAATTAACACATGTAAATTTAAACAGTTATGTATAGATGGAAGTGTGTATGTCTATAAATGTAGGTATGTATACCATATTCACACACACATACCCCAGCAGATACAAGACAAAGGTTTAATGACAACGATGAAGCACACTTTGGAAAATGACAGTGGGGAATCAAGGTAAAGAACATACTGGTCGACCTCGATTCTATTTTTTTCTAGGGTGATATTATAGGCAGGAAATGACTGTGAGCTAAATAAGGGTAGAAAGAAGTGGGTGGATGTGTGGGATAGTAGATGCTAAAGAAGGTCAATAGGATTTGAGAGCTGATTGAATATGAAAGGTTTAGGAATCTGAAGAGCAAAATGACTGCCCAATTTTGGCTTGGGCAATTGAGTCGAGGCTGAGTGAGTCATTCACTGAGCCAGCAAACACCAGAGGAAAAGCTGTTAGAGAAAGAAATAAGAAAGCGGTTTGGACCGCAGAGATCAAGGTGCATCCCAGATACATACGAAGATATTTCAAAAAGTCCAGTTTCAGGGATGATCTGGATTATATGCAAACCTGGATAGTCTTATGTTAAACATAAGCCTGGATAATTTTATGTTTTATGTACAGATGTCTGGAATGTCTGGGAAGGACATCGTATAAATTCTGAGGATTGCTATCAAAAGCAACGATTTGATTCTTAACCAATTAGTCAAGCTAAAAATCATCTTTATAATTTAAAAAGACAACAACAATCTATCCTGCAGCGCCACATTATTTCAGGATTGCCAGTAATTAGAGTCACACTGCCTTCATATTTGTAGGGGCACACTGCTCCGACCCCAACAGAACCCAAATTCAAGTCTTGTTTTGACAGTGCAGCTCTATACTAACAGTGTTTACAAGCACCTTAAATGCTAATTAAATAAATATTTGATATTCAATACACATTATACATTTCCAAAACAACAGATTTAATAATGGACATTATTGTGACTAATAAGTCATCCATAGGTTAGAACAGGAAGTAGAACCAGAGTTTATTACTAAAAATTAAAAATTAAAAATCCGATTCCTTGCCCTGCCACAGAGGCAGGGTGGGATGGGGGGGATGGGAGGTGGGAGGGATACTGGGATCCGATCCGTAGTGATGGGAAATGGGCACTGGTGGAGGGATGGGTATTTGATCATTGTATAATTGAAACCCAAGCACAAAAATTTGTAAGTCTACAACTGTACCTCATGATGTCTCATGAATAAAAATTTTTAAAAAAATCCAATTCCTTGATATAAGGACATGCCATGTGGTCTTTTCATTTCATAATACATTTTATTTTACATATCATGTGATATTTAATAGTTCATATGTTCATCGATTTGCAGGCCCAGTAACGTCTCCATTATGAGACTTCTTGTTACTGTGTTTGGCATATTGAATACTCTCGGTAGCTTGCCAGGCTGTCCGAGGGGGGCAGAGGAATCGAACCTGGCTCGGTTCGGCTGGCTGCGCGCAAGGCAAACGCCCTACCACTGTGCTATCACCCCAGCCCTGGATTATATTCAAAGGGAGATGTAAATATGTGCACCATATGATCATTTTTTCCTTGCCAGTTAGAAAAAGGACATATTTGAATAACAGGTTAAAATTGCCTATTTTAGAGGGCTGGAAGGATAGTACAGTGGGTAGAGCATCTGTACACAGGGCCAACCCAGGTTGGTCCCCAGCATCCTATATGATCTCCCAAGCACCGCCAGGAGTAATTCCTGAGTGCAGAGTTAGAGTGAGGCATCCCTGAGCATTGCTAGGTGTGGCCCCAAAAGACAAAAAACAAAAATGAATAAAATAAAATTGCCTTCGAAAAAAGTTTTGTACCACAGAAACTGAGGCTGATGAAAACTGCAGTAGATTGCCTAAGCTTTAGAAACACTTTCCTCTCCAGACCGTGGAATATGACAACTACATCAACTCTCCACAGAATTTAAGAAATGTAAAACACTTTCATGTTTTATATTGGTCAATTCTTGTTAATACTTTAAAGATAATTAAGTTCCTTTGGTGAGGAAGGCAAGAGATACAGACCTATAAAAAACTTGCTGAACTATACTTTGTTTTATAATATTTGGGGGCCACACCCATAGGTGCTCAGGGCTAACTCCTGACCTGTACTCAGGGACCACTCCAGTCAGTGTTCAGGGGACCATAAGGGACTGCTAAAAGTCACACCTGAGTGGACCACATGCAAGGCAAGTTCCCTGCCTTCTGCACTATTTCTCCAACCCCATGCCAAATTTTTTTTATTTGTTACTATTTATTTTATAATAAATCCTACACATAATTAGCATATCATTTGATACAATTTAATCAGGCACTGGTAAGGGATGCGTCATATAGTATCACAGATATGGACCAAAATACCGTAAATCACCAGCTTAAATATTCAATAAATGAATATTAAAATACATATTAAGGTCCACCAATAGCAGATAATAAAATAGCCACGCCAAATTCTTTTAAGTGCATTTTATTAAAGAATCAAAAACTTTGTTCAGAAGAATGCATATAAAATTTTATTATGGAAAGTCAAATTTGCCTGACAGAAATGCACTTTCTGGACAGAAACTAGCATATTCCCTTTAAGAGACGTGTCTGCAATTCTCCTTTACAACTGTTGTCAGCCAAGGATCTCATCTCAGCCCTTCCCAAACATTCCACCCCATGAAACAAAAAATCCAGCTGCTTACACCGGCCTTTAATTCATCTGTCCACAAATGGTTTCTTCATTCTAACATTCTGTTTTGCCATGCTCTATAAAATCACTTCTTAAATGTTCTCATCTTGAGAACCCAAATCACATGCCTTCTACAAAGATACAGCAGAACAGGGGTACAAAGGACAAGGACGCAACAGAAACGGGAATCACATTTAACAGACTCACGTTAACTATGACTTGGAGGAAGGAACGAACAGGGGACTCCAAGCTGAGTAACATATGTCAAAAGATGCCTCCTCCTCCTAACTCACTCAAGGCTGCAGAAATATGCCATTGGTTGTCAGGGGCAGAATCAAAGTTTCATCACTAACAACCTAACAACAACAACATGCCCCTGAAAGAACTTCCTCTTTCACACCTAGGAAAGCGCAAAAAGGCAAGCTTCCCCATAGCACTAGATGGGAAGGGTGTGTGTGTGTGTGTGTGTGTGGGGGGGGGGGGGGGGGGGTAGGCAAATGAGGGGTTGCTTTAT